CAAGAAGGGGCAACTTTTGGTTCGAAATAGATCGGTTATCCTGTCCTCATAGGACTCGTCCTTGCACTTCCGAAAACGGAACTCCGTACAGTCCTTCACCGAACAGTTGCCCCAGTCGGACCACTCCGTGTACAGGTTGTCCTTGTAGAGCATAATCCGCCTTCGTAGGATCAAAGTGTTCCTGTCGAAGACATACTGTGAGAAGAATTTCTCCTCCGTCTGGGGAGCCTGTAGAAAGAATGATTTGTTAGGAGAGCATTACGGTGACTAACCATCGGGTCCTGTCCAGGTGTTTCCACATCCTGAGCGTAGGAACAGATGACAAGCTGCGCCGCCAACAGCAGCAGCGGTACTAAGCTGCCGGGGATCCGGTTGGACCGCTCCATTGCACAATCTGAGGGCTTGGTATCCACGAATAGCTTATATGCATGCGGAGTACTGTTGTTCATTGGCTCGCTGCAGTACTGCACCTCCTCACTTCTCTAATTGGTAGGAGCTGGAAGCTAATCAACCAATGAGAGGCGAATTCAGCCGGAAGCACATTTGGCGACGATTGTGACGTTAGCCATATCCTGGGTGTATGCATGCGCGTAGGCCTAACAAACTTAAGTCGGTAAACAAATCAGTCGATGTGAAACCCCCCCCCTCCAGCTTAACGGACGCGTGCGCCATCGCTTATACCGGTTTGTTAGTTTACAGTCGGCCTATGTGATGCAGTAGTTGATGTATTAGTAAACCAAAACGACAGTCAGCTGTTTTTGTCCTGGCCAAGAGGACAGCCTTTTTGCTATGCAAATATTTATACTTAACGGCAGAATACTACTACTATTAATACTACTACTACGAAGTCATGTTTGCCCGAACACAGGTCGAGTTGTCGTAATAAGCAAAAATTATGAAAATGCAAGCCAATTGGGGTTACCGTTTTACCTCGTCTTCGCTTTAAGGCATTTGCTTTGTCGATCTTCACGACACGTTTCAGTTGAGTTAACTCTTACCGAATCACGGTAGAAAAAGTGTCGATTGGCTAAACGTCAACAAGCAGCTTTGGTGTGATTTTTGGCAGTGAGACAGAAGTTAAAACATAAGGCCAAGAGAGTTCGTCTTTCCGTATAACTTGGTCGTAGGAAAAGAGAGAGAGAGGAGAGGTCGATGAGAGACGACCAGAGTTGCACGAGTCGGCGCCTATCCAAAGGAATAAGGAAACGCCTCCCAACATGATTGAGATTGGGTGAACTAAGGAGCATAAACAGGGCTATTCTCTCCCACGTGATGTTAATTCCAGGCATACTTTGGACCCCAACGAAACGTTTCGGATAATTTTTAAGGTTTAATCAAACCACCGAAACTCCTTGAGCTAGCGCCTGCTAGCAAAAGCAACCGATAGGAGGTTGCTGAAACCGGCTATGTGCGTAAAAAATAACCTCCTGTTTGGCAGGACCAACGGTTTCACTCTTCAGCGCCCTATTTCTTCGGCCCACTTCCCTTCTGGAACGGCTCCATCAATTCTTTACTGCTGCTTAACAAACCGTCACTTACCGTTAACCTTCCAACCTATTCCTGGGGGCCATTTGTATGGAAAGAGGAATATTATTGATCGCATTTTGTAAGCTTGTACCCCGTTCCCATTTAAATATACTGGCTTGATGAGAATTGGTCGACAGCCAGCGTATGCCTGCTAACTGGTCTTCTGGATTCTTTGATGGGAAAACACATTTCCCGTAGGAGTTCACAACATCCTTTATTCCGCCACAAATTATGAAAGATGTTTCCCGTGAAAATGTGTTGGGTTCTGTCAAGTTTATGACGAATTAAAATACAGTAGTCGCCGGTTATTAAGCCCATCGTTAATAGGCCCAGCCGCGTATTAAGCCCAAATCAGCTTGGGACGGAATTTTGCATAGCAAAATCCGCCGCCGCGTATTAAGCCCAAATTAGCTTGGGACGGAATTTTACCGCCCAGTCGCCGGCTACAAAGCCCAGTTTGCCAACAGGATAGAGTGAGATTCTCCAATCGCCGGCTAATAAGCCCAGTCGCCGGCTACAAAGCCCAATTTGCCGGGCCACATCAGCTTGGGACGGAATTTTACATAGCAAAATCTGCCGGCTCCCAATCAGCTTGGGACGGAATTTTACATAACAAAATCCGCCGGCTAATAAGCCCAGTCGCCGGCGACGGAATTTTACATAGCAAAATCCGCCGGCTAATAAGCCCAGTCGCCGGCTTAATCCAGTTTGCCAACAGGATAGAGTGAAATTCTCATCTCTCTGCGTGCGCAACCGGTTAGTGAGATTCTCAACTCTCTGCGTGCGCAACTGGTAATAGAGTGAGGTTCGAACCTCTCTATAGGCATCAGATTTCACAAAATTCGACGATTTTTGGTGCCTGGAGAAGGAAATCAAAGAGCACTTGCGAGTGAAGTTTCATCCAAAACAATTGACACCAGACCGCTTTTTTTAAACCTGTCGCAAATCATTTTTTTGTTTGTTTTTGTCATTACGTAAAATACAGACAA